GGCACCGAACACGTCGGGTGTAGAGAGTCGAGGACGAGTGAAGGCGCGCGGGAGGGGAGGTTGGTTGGCGAAGGATCGGTGGTAACGGCGGCGGCGGCGGCGGCGGCGGCGGCGGCGGCGGCGGCGGGTGCCGCCCGCGGAGGGTGGTGAGGGCTTGCAGAGATGCGGATCGAAGGTAATATAGGCACATAGGCGAAAGGCGAACGAAGGTGCAGAGAGAGGATTGGTTTTCCCGTTTCGGCGAGGCGGGAGACCATTTCGTCGTCGAGTGCGGAACGCTGTTGAACACCCCCGTGGCTCTTTAAACGCTCGGATCAGTTTCTCTCTCGCCGGATCGTTCTGTCTCCATCCCCGCCTCGTTTCCCCTCTGTGTCTTTTTGTCGCTCCCTTTCCCTCTTTCTCCATCTCTCTTTTTCGTATCCAGCTTAATCTAAAACGGCTCACCTTCGCGCCTGCTTATCTTCAATTGTGTTCTTTGCACCGTTTATACGTCTGGTTCTCGATCCTCGCAAAAAAATCGCCCACATGGCGGATTATCGAGACGATCCACCTAATAGGATGATTCGCGGCTGACTGAGCCGATAGAAAAGCGATTCGTAAGAAGCGTTTAATAAAAATGTAAGAAAAATTATAGAGTTTTGCGTCTCTCGTCCATGCTTATACGCGCAAGTACACAAACGCTTGAAAGAAAATTTAATGACTTGTCGGATCACCGCATATTAATCGCAAGTGTTATCTACGTGAAAGGTGCAAAACCTTCAGTACTACATAACACAGCTACCGCACAGCAGTGGTCTAGATATATCAAGACTATGTACACACTTCTAATTGTTCTATTGCGGATGAGCAATATCCGAAAACCTCAATTTATACGCGCATCTTACAGGCTTCTGGAAATGTTTAGCGATAAAATGACCGAATTGTCTCGAGTCCGCCGGCATTTAACGCAGAAACCGAGAGTGCCTGAATATACACGTGTACATATCGCACGCCTCTGTTACGGCCACCAATCTATTAGGGCAAGTCGGAGAAGGGCGAAAGCTCGAATTTATGCCGCGACTACAAATCTTGGCTTGGCCCGACTCGTAGAGAACGAGCTTGCGAACCAGTGAAACGAAGTGAAGCACGAAGCGGTAGGTTAGACTCTAGATTCTAGAGACTAGCTCGAGCTCCGGATATCACGGTGATCGATTACGAGGAAAACATCTCGATTAGAGATCCATAATTCGTCGCAGTAAGCTAAAGACAAATCTGATCTTTGATTTCGACGACTACTGTCGCGAAGACGCTTCCGTACAGCAATGTACCGCATATTAACAATGAGCTGATAAGAATTGTGAATAAAAGTACATTGTATTCTGAAGAAATATTGTTACATATTAATAGATGATAATATATGCATGTAGAAATTGAATTATATAATGATAATTTACGGTAATAGAATTTAAATTGTGATTTCATCCATAAAATATAGAATGGAATCAAACTGCATCGAAGTTAATAATAATTAATAATAACTTTTAGCTTCCTCAAATTAAAATATAATAAATCGTCGCAAATTTAAATTTAATAAGATTAATAATAGAGTAAAATAATAGTATAAATGATATAAAAACCCGAATAATTTCTATTAATTGTATCGTTTAGGTTAAGTCGAGTGAGGCGAGTAAGGTAAATGGAAATTTACATGAATGGGAAAGATACCGACTCAACTGTGTGCACAACAATCGTGATAGAGACATAGGAAGTACAGAACAAGAACCATAAATAATAGCCGGGTAACCCTTTCGCATAGATTTGGATGCGGCTCAAACTTTGGTATGAGCATGGGGTTCGAAGTAAGGCTTTTCCCGGGCAACGAAACCGCCTATCCCAAGATTATACGGAAACTTTAACGGCCACGGTTACTCAGCCGTCTTGGCAAAGTATGGCAGCCCGTGGTTTAGCTCGCAGGTTTATTAGTCCCTATAATGTCCCTGCGGAGAACACGCGTTTGTGTTTACTGTTAAGGTCTACTTGAAGGTATAGGCTTTAACGTGGTATATGCTCTTGCAACAAATGTATTTGCATTATGCATCTGCACCTTCGTGTGAAACTTGGATTTATGCGAATTTATACGACACATACTTGGACCTTTGAATGTGAGAAACTTGATATTAAACTTTAACTGCTCGACTGACTTTTGATTTATCTTTTAGACATATTTATGATATTACCTTATTTTTTTCACCTAACTCAAAGATCTGCAATACGCAAGCGTGCGATAGAACTGATCAATTATTGATTGCATTCTTCAACAATTAATTAGTTAATCACGTACGTAATTATTAACAAAGATGGGATTTAAATGATGCTTATTATTAATGACTATCGTAATTTAATCTGAAGTTAGTATTCTAAAAATCTACGGAGATACTTTATTTTATAATGTAAACTAAAAAAAATAAGGTTAATTGATTAAAATTTAATTGAAAGTAATTTCATTATAACATTGTACGCGCGTTAGAAGTGGACAGTAAAAGTAAGTTATAACTTACGGTTATAACTTACACGCAATCTCATCGTGCGTCGATATACGGCTATACTATCCATAAAAAGACGCATCGTACAGTTTATAGTGTAATCTTGAGAGATAGGAGAAACTGGTCAGGAAATACCGAGTTTTTGTCATTATGAGGAGATCCATTAAATTGTCGTTAGTGCCGTAGCGGCATAAGGATGTACAAACTATCGTCACAATGGTAAGCGAGTAGGATAAGAAGAAAGAGAAAAATCCATTCAAACGTAGACTTCATTTAATGTAGCACATTTGTACAAAGCCCTCATGATCGAAAGCATTTGCTCCGCCATTCTTCACGTACCTTATTGTATCGCGAATTTACGCTTGACTAATACCTGTATCGAATTCTCCAGCGTACAAATCTAACGTCAACCCGGCTCGGTTCATTTATCATTGGACGAGACCTCCGCTAAATCTCTTTCAATATTTTTCTTTTTTTTTCTAACAACCCCATTGTAACGAAACTTTTATTTGAAAGATTAAACATCGGCAGCTTAGGTTTTTTCGTTTTAACATAGTACACACCTTACGTGTAAGAGCGATAATGGAGGAATTATTGAAGCGCTATTGATATATGCTTAATTGTGAATTATTGCGTACGATAATATTTACTGCAATTATTGAACTTTGACCCACGATTGTGACAAATGTGTGGCCAATATTTCTCGCTACACGCAATAATGAATTCTTTAGGAATATATTCCATCGTCGCTGCATTTGTTTTTTTTTGTACGTGTCGTTTTAACACGGATATTTTGCAGGAGGATGATACCTCAGGAGTTAAGGCCAGTAGCAAAGAAAAGAGAGAAAGAGAAAGAGAGAGGTGGTGTGAACATAAACAAGTGTGTAAGTGTACCACAATCAAAGCAAGTTAGCTACAAACGTTATCTAATTTACCCTTTATTAAAAATATGTTTCGTACTTTTTTCTTACTTCTTACCTCTTTTTCAATAATTATATTTCGCAACCTTTCAGATACCTTTAACATTATTATTATATTACTTATCTATGTTGTATTTATTACTACTATAATTATTAATCATTCTCTACCTTTCCATTTTCACTCTTCATACTTGTATACATTATTGCGTGGAGAAAAATATCAGCACTGCTATATATCACTGTAGCTGTAAAATATTACGATAAATCAACCGGAAGTATAAAACAACTGTCATTTCGGCACTAATTGCGCGTTGATTTAGAGTAATATTTTATCGCTTCTATTTTTCTTCGTATACATACAGCCGTTCTCTCTTTCGTCCACGTTTCTTTGTTTTTTTAACACATTGTCGTATTAACAAGCGTCTAGAACAAGAGAAAGAATAACGTAGCATTTTAAACATCATGCATACGTCTAAATGTATAAAATAATTTTTATTCATGAATAAGCATTTTGTAAAATTACACGAAATTACAAATGTCGGTGCTTTGTTGCACAAAACGTTACACTTTACATTTCTATTTGTGTTTTTGTTGTGGAAAATTTTTTTATTATGTCTGTTTGAAAATCACGAGCGAGTGAACTGCTGTTTATAGTACGACTAGAGGTATTAAACTAAATTGGTAGACTTGTGTGATGGTCTTTTATGTACGTACATACATGTATACCGAGTGCGCACCTCGGAACATATGCACGTATATGCGTATGTAGTAACGTCGTTCAAATCTCGTTAAAAGTATTTTTTATGTCGTAACGTTTTACAATACAATTTGTATACATTGGCTTTAATATGCATGCTCGTATACTTCCCCTTGTTTGGAAAATCTTATCGGACCTAAGATATTCTAAATCGAATGAGATGTTAAAGGTATTAAAGCTATTAAAGAGGTATACGAATACGACAAAGAGAGGTACGGGCGGGAAGAGAGAGAACGGGGGAATTGTACAGTGAGCAAGGTAAAAGAAAATCGAATCTTCCTTCACTCTTTTCATTCTATTTTTCATATTTCTCATTATTTAATTTTTCACTCTTGTCGATATTTTTACATAATTTGGTTATTATCATTGAAATGAATCAGAGCTCAGGTACCTTATGAAAGAAATGGAGTTGGTGATCGTATGCACAGCATTTCTCCATCAGATTTTACCTATAATATCCCATTCATATTTCACATATTTCGCATTTCATTACTTTCTTGTACTACGTACGATTTCTCTTACTTTATGTGCACCTTTATATACGTGCACAGTCTTTCACTCGATATATTCCCCATCATATTCTCCGCTAATATTATACTAGTTTTTCTTTTGTGAGAGAGGTACTAATATCTTTTGACTAATTCTAAATTTATATACATATCGCCTCTTCACTATCACTAAACAAAAAAACGCAATTTTTATGATAAATTACTTACCGTATCGTTGCTCCGCTATTGCCCGATGCCTCCTAGGCCTTCTCCTCCTCCTCCTCCTCCTCCTCCTCCTCCTCCTCCTCCTCTCACAGCGGTCCTTCGAGCACTCACACGCGTTCGCGGCGCACGCATTGCTCGCGCGCGTACCTGAATGCGAAAATCGCGCGATACTTAAAATGGCACTCCCGACGTCACAGGCGAATCGAACCGAATTGTCCAAGCTGTGACGTTACGCGTGAATTCCTTCCGCGTTTCAGACCACCACATTTACCAATTGGGGCACGATTCTCTCAAAACAGAGGGCAAAGGTAAGCTCGACGAAGGTAAGGTGCGATTAGTCACGGGGTCAACCGATCGGATACAGAGCATCCCAGCAGCATTTTGGTGCCAAACTAACGGAAGTCGCTGGATTGATTTCTATGCCGTCCATCATGTTTCACAGTTGCAATTAAGCAACCCCATGCTTTCCGGCATATGTTAGCGGACCGAAGGAGTCGGGATCCAGTCGGGATCTCATGATAAAAACCAATCTTTCCCTCCCCCCGAGCCAAGCCCAAAGTCGAGAAAAAATCGTGTCCCAATATTTGTCATGGCATACGGCGGAAATGCGTTTATCTATAGATTCGCTACAACTCCCGGCATTAACGGCACTCCCGACGCGCATTTTGTTTGTATTATACGACGGAACGAATATATTTCGTAGCACCGATTACGCGCGCAAAGTTTATCTGTAAAATATAAATACATTTACATTACAATGATATCCGAAACAATACTATAGTTACATAAGTTATGTATAGGCCACTAATGACAGTAAATACACATACAAATTTCTGTAATGTAACTTGTGCAAGCAAGAAGAGCAACAAACACGTCTGTACGTGAAAGTTTAATTATAAAATTAGATTCGCATTACGAAATCCATGTATTTCGCTCTTGCAAATTGCCTGCAATTTGAAAAAAAAAATCCAATATCGCTAGAAACCGCCAGACGCTCAGCACATATAATGGCTTACATATTAAATACTTTTGCAAAACCGTGGGGATCGGCAACTTTATCTAAATAAGAAGCGGGTGAAGTATTCGGGGAGGTAGGAACCAAGAAACCCATTCCGTCCAGCCCGATTTACATGAACCGCCAGAAAGTTACAAATGCAGCGTCAGTTCGAGCATTGATTATTCAGATATCCACGGATGTCCGAGAATAAGAAAAAGGAGAATGGCCACGGGGACAGCCAGTGTCCACTTAGTGCTCGCTACCATGAATTTAGTCGGGAACGAATATTGGCGCGCTGCTGGGGTGACCAGTGCCAACGAAACTTCAAGTACCCGCGTTATTTAAGGGGGTACGAGATATGTACATTCTAGTTCTAACGTCGACCACTGGAGATTCCATCCGCCATAAAACGGAGAAAAGTGGAAACTTCCCTTTCGGGAGATGGAGAGAGCGAGGAGGTATTGCGGAGGTCTAAAGCCGCCGTCCTTCTTCTTCTTCTTTTTTTTTTCCCTTCCTTACTTCAGTGTTCCGCACCCCTTTTTTTTACTTAAGGTCGGAACTAGCGCGTCCGGACTCCGGCGCGGTCGGTAGAAAATTTCGAGTTTACCCCCGAATTTCTTGTTGATCTTTCATCTCCCGGCTCTCGAGAGCGGCGAGTTATCGGAAATTCAGTGAAGTAAGAAGTTACTAGATTCGCGTGATAAATCTAGTTATTCGATCGCCAAGTGGTTCCCGCTAGATAAGAATAGAGTTTCACGGGAATACCGCCGTAGCCGCCATTGACCTGACGTATAGAACTTCGATTTAGGCACGTCCGCGTAATCAGCTGCCTAATGAGCCGAATCTAGAACTACAGGCTGTTTCCGTAATGGTGGATCTTCGACCAGGCACGTCCGACGGATCATAAATCACGGACCATTTTCGAAGAGCGAAAGTGATCTGACAGAACCAGCGAAATTTGGATATTTTCTTGCCGGCACAAATTCTTGTTTGACCCGCGACGCTGAAATATGGATCGTTCGTCGATGGAAGTTTAAAGAAAATTTCTGCAGAATTTTTAGTCGCTGTAATATCTACGCTGCTACACTGGCGCGCTCGATACTCGAAAGTAGTTACTTACTTTTATTGCCGCGCGTAAACTGACACGTAATTTCTGCAAGCGCAGCTCTTGAAAGCATCGAACTTTAAACATATCGACTGTATGTGACTTTGCGACTATAATACTCGGTAAATAGCATTCTCAAGACCGTGCCAGTCGTGCAATCACGTTAGGGTCGGGAGCGTATTAAGACCTTAAACGTATACGACGCATGAGTCGACTACTTAAAATGGAAACGTCGGGAAAATCATGCCTGAGGGGTTAAATTGGAACCATCGTGTACTCAGCGGAATCAAATCAGTTTGGATCGGTATAGCCTAATCTCGAGAAGGAATATTTCGATTAAAGTACTAAGAATTTCCGGAGGGGAAATAAGGCCAGAGTTCGAAAGCAAGCCGTCGAATATCTTCCTGAAAATTATTATTTCTCAAAAGTTCCTCTTGCATTTCCGCATGGAAATTCTAACATTCACAATTCCGCCGTCTATTATCAGAAACTAGAATAGAAGATCCAAATGTTGTCTATCGTTTTTCTTCTAAAGAAATTTTACGAACGAAATATAAGTAATTTTTATATGCTGTCCATATTACTTTAGAGACTCTTAATAATTTTATTTTTCAACTAATTAACTTTGAAGTATTTCATTACTTTTTATTGACATGATGAGAAATTCAAAATTTCCTTTAAAATTAATTGAAAGCCCACAACTAATTGAACAGCATTAAAATTTATACTAGATTGACACAGCCACGTACATTTAACGACGTAACAAATCGATATATAATGCTTGTATAAATTATAGATGACAGTATTTATCCTGATCACGATCTGAACGTGTCACTATGTATTACATGTCAGGTTAAAATCAATCAACAGCACAGTGTGATAAAGTTCGATAAAAATATGATCGTACATAGCTATCCTCTCACCCAGTATCATTCCACCTCCGAATCGACTTCATCTTCGCAATTTTTCCTTTAAATCTTTTTTTTTTCATGGAATCCGTTCCGTACGAAACTCATCGCCATAGAGCTACAATAGCTCTTCAATTTTTCAACCAGATATTCTCGATATAGCCGCTTCAAAACGTCGGGAGCAATTCTTCGAATCGATCTCCGATATCTTGAATCTCGATTTCTCCTCTCGTTTAAATCTCGAAAACTACGTCCACAGCGCGGACAAGTATTGACAGAAAAGCAGTGACAGCTTCTCGTGTCGCTTAAAATCCAATATAAAATTAATATTCCGCCGGAGGCAATTTATTACAGTTCTAAAAGGAGGATATGAGTTATAGATCGAGCATCTTCTTAAAATACTGCGTCGTATATTCGTTATATTCATTCTGTGTCGAGGTATGGAATAAATTGTTTATGAAACGTTTAATATAAATAGCTTTCGTTGTGATCTTTTAGCAGGACCGCTTGTTCGAGCTAAAATTACATTTATGGGAATCCAATAATTAGTAGATAAATAAAATATAATAATGGATTATATATACATATATATAGTCCATTATATATATATGTACCACTTCTGGAAAAAATAAATTTCCCATATTTGACCCGTTTGACGATGTTGTTTGTGATCTATGACGAAAAATTTTGCATGTTCTGAGTAGGATTACAAAATTGCAACAATTAGACGTACAGATAGATATACCTCTTTTTTATATGATAATGATTTATCTGCATCTTGACATAAAATGCCTGCTAATTTGAAGGTTTTGTAAAATAATCACTCATGGTACCAATGTATGTATAATCCTTAAACATATAATTCATCTGAATAATGATAATAAAAGAATTAAACTATATATATGATTTGAATACCGCGTTAATATGATGTACACATATATATTTTGATCACTATAATAAATACAAAACAATTTTGTATAAATTTCATTTAACCTTCTTTTTGATAAAAAAAAAGAAGAATCAAAGATTTCAATAAATTTAAAAATCAGAAACGCTCACGGAAATTTTTGATTTACTTAAAATATTCCTTTTCAATAAATAGATTTCATGTTCGTGGAATAATATTACACACTAATTGGCGATTGTACCGCGGCGCATTGATTCGTTACATTTTTTATCATATAATAATTCTCAGCTATTAACCCGCGAAACGCCGGCGATCAAAGACGGCGGGGCCGTAAAAAGTTCACGACCTTGCAAGCGCCAGAAGTGCAGATATTTCAATCTCACTCTTTTCTTTTTTGCGAAATAAGCGTTCTAGAACAAACAAAATTTTTTAAAGCCGACAGCGGCGACGGAGACGGACAAGCTGCGCCGACATTCCGGGAATACTGAGAATAACGTTCGCCAAGCAATAAAGAGATAATGCCGAGCTTTGAGAAAAGAAGAGAACGTCCCTCGGTAAGTTCTTAACGGGACGTTCTGCCGCTCTGAGAACCTTCTATCCCCGAACGAGGCAATTACAGGCCGTGGTTTACCGGTCGCGTTTACACCCGTAGCCTGCTTCCGACCGTATAGGCTAAGCCCCCGTACGATCGTAAACTTAGCTGACGGGGGTTCAACCTCTTTGGCATTGGCGTTCGATATCTCCAGCAGCTCGCGCGTCCTGCTTCGACCGCGTCATGAAACCCGGTTGACCTCTTTCGTAGTATCAGTAAAAGTAATGCCGAGGGACGAGCGGCGGGGTAAAGGATACGTGAGAGATCTATCGCGGGGGGGGGGAAGTAGATACTTTCAATAATGGCTTTCCCAAGGCCTCACGCGCGTGTTGTTTCTTATATTGCCATCGGGATCGTATTCGATCGCCGCCGCTGGATGTCGCAAACGGAATAATCATTTCACCGCGCACTGATCGTTTTTTGATGAATGCCCTCATACACTTCGCCTCGACGCTACTCATTCTTTATGCACCAATCACGATACGAACGAGCGTGACTTATGCATCAAACAGAACGATATTGTGCCGCATTGATTGATAATAAAAAAAAATACCCCTTGGGATGGCACGGCAGTCAATATTTCCTAAACCGTTTCTCTAATTAAGGAATAATTCTCTGTTGTCGTAATTTACAAGGATGAAGCATTATTTCACTAATATTTAACGTGTAATGAATTAAGCGCAAGAATTGCGGATAATTGGTATGCTGGCGTCGATTAAAACAGGTTGCAATATAGTGAGCGTTATATGTATACATAAAGTAAACTTGTTAAACTTCCACATAGTTGCGTATTTTATATTTGTTAAGAGTAATTAATCTTCTGGCGTGAGCAGAATCGACATCGATAACCCAGCAAATCTAAAAATTCACCATACAAAACTCGTTAGCTTAAGCCATAATTGAGCTATCGCAATAAATGGTTTTAAACTACTTTATATTTCTCCATATCCCGTTACGCTATGCAAAATAATACTGTACAAATTTCTGAGCATTTATCAACAGTTTCCATTGTGTCTTTATTGCGAACCAAGAAAGATGTGTAACAACTTGTATTCAGGAATTCGTTGTAGCTGCGAATATTAACGCTTTTGAACCAGTTTTCTTAGATTTCTCGTTATATTTTATAAGTAAATACGAAACTAAGATGTGTCATCTTTTTTTGCTTCACAGCGAATGCAAAGCCACTGACGTTCGATGAAGTTTACAATCAAAGTAGTCCAACCAACTGCACGGTGTACTGCGGCGGATTAACCAATGGTTTAACAGAAGAACTTATGCAAAAGACCTTCTCACCCTTCGGATCCATCCAAGAAATTCGAGTATTTAAGGACAAAGGCTACGCCTTCATCAGGTAAATATATTTTCAATCTGAATATTTAATAAACTAAAATTACTTGAAAAAATTATTTTTTAACAAATATTTCTCGAAAGTTAGTGTTCATTAAATTTCGGATAGAATCGTGAAAAAGAGAAAAGTATAGTAGTATACTTCTAGTATCTTCTAGAAATAAAGTAGTAAAAGAAATTTAATCGCGAATCACGTATCAAAAATACAAGAGCCACCGTTATTAAGTCTGGAAATAAAATGTAATGTCGGATATCTACGGTTTCTTATTATTCCGCATTCCTTGAGGTAAAACCGATAATTTTGAATTTCGAGATCCCTGAAGACTATCAGAGACGTTGTTGAAATGTAGGGTAGATAGGTATATGTCGTGAGTAGTAGCTTTTCAAGTTGTCAGTACAACCTGAGGGGGAATTCCCTAAGGCAGCTATAGGTTTCAGACATCCCGCAATCAGAGATGATCGTTCGCCATTTCGCGAACGTACAATACACTTTGGAGTTGACTTACCGAAACTTAATCGAACAATATGCAATATGTATATATAAAATATATACGATGTACACGATTATTAATTCTTTGTGTTGTGATCCTTCATCCCAAACAATCTTCTTACATATTTTTTAATTTGATTATAATAATTTTTAATTTGATTATAACTAACGATGGAATAAAAAACAGACTATAATATTAATAGTACTGTACTTATTAATATGCCACTGCATCATCGTATTGGATTAATTATTTCATTACATTACAATTTTTAGGAGGTCACCGAAAATAGTAATTGCTCTAGTTAGTTTCTTTTTGCTCACATCCAATATAGAGTTTGTACTGCAGACGTATGCTTGCAGACGTATTAGCCAATATTTTTTGCGACATCAGTACAATTTGACATATTTACCAAAATTATCTGCGCCGATTAATATATAAAAATCAACCGAAATCATGTAATTATAATTAGTTTAAATCAGTTATCGATTTTTGGGGTATTTTATTTTAAATCTAAAACAAAAGTGTCTCCAATGGCGATTAATTTATTTAATAATAAATATTTAAATTATATTAACGTTAAAAACTCTATCTAATATAACTCTAAATTCTCACTCAATTGCTCTTGCTATTTAAAAAAATGTACAAATTTTACTAATTTACCACAATTCTTTATTTTAATAAAACAATAAATGTAAGTTTCACGGATTATCGCTCTATATCTTAATAAACTGCCGTAATTAAAAGCCATTTTACTCTATCGCCGGTTAAATTATAAAATGATTTATCGATCACTAGACTCCACAAAGAACACTTAAGGCTAATTCTCTGGACGTGAAGAATTAAACGGAACTTTAGTACGAAATCCTTGAAACCATTTCACTGATTATATAATCAAACTTCTTTAATTACTGAAGCTTTTTACTATCCTGTAAAAATAAAAATTTAGAATACAAACTTAATATACTATTACCATACGTTATTGTAAATTTAATCAAATTTTAATTTAAATGTTCCTTGATACTATGTCTTTCTCTCATAATAACAACTTATATAACTTTTCTCTGTACTCTTATTTCCAAACTCAATTTATTTGCGTACTAAACATAATAAAAATTTTCCAGAATATTAAACAAAAGTATGTAATTATCTTTTGCTTTAAGTATTTAGTTTTTAGAACTAAAAGACATATATTTTACAGTGAATCTGTCTGGAAAAGTAAATTAATAAGTAAAATAATAATCAAATCGTATATCATTTTATTGATAAATGCAATTTTGGTAACTAAGTTAAATCGTCTTAATCTTTTTATTTATTTAATCATCTTATCTTTTTAATTATTTAACCAATCAAATTAAAGCCACTGCACTATATTGTCTTAGTGTGTGTGTACAGCGTAACTAATGATATATCTATATTCATCGTCAGATGAATTTATTACGAAATTAAGTAATTCAGTTTAAAGTCAATCTAGCAGTACAAATGTGTATATATATATATATATATATATTGTATATGGAAAGATATATTTGCATAAAGCAATAGGATTTTGTACAATATAATAGTTATATAAAGTAAGATTTGAGAAAATTTTATTCCAAATCATTTGCGATGATTGGTGCCAGCGTAATGCGAGTCATCAAACGAGATTTTACGAAATATTAGGAAATCGCATGAATAGTGCATCAATACCCACCGTCGCTTGTGATTTATGGCACGAAACGCGAGAACATGTCGGGTCAATGGCAGCATGTCGGACTCATCAAGCTCGGATCGTGGCCATTTCATTAATCTACCTATTACATCCGCACAGATCATATATTTCAGTTCAACTTCCCGTACCCGACGAAATCAACTACGTACGTTTCAAAAACATTAGCGAAAGATTATTAAATATTTTGATGTGAGTGTATTTCGTAAAACGTATAATTTTACATGTGGAAACGGAAAAGAAATCGATATTAACGGCCATGTCGCATTACACAATTAAAAACAGCGATAAATTTTGCTGCGGAGAAAATCGATAGCCTCGGAAAACCGTAGAAAAAAAGAGCCTAACAGTTCAAGAAATCAGCTGAACATTTATATCTCCCGAAAGCGAATTCAGCGCTCCACCTTAACGACGGCTAGGGATCCGTGACCTACCTCAGAAACGACTGCCGAGAGCGTGGGTGGGTTGCTCTAGAACGATAAGAAGGCGGGAGGGTGCGGGAGGGTGGAGGTTTCTCCTAGAAGAAAACAGGGACAGAAGAAAGAGACAAAAAACCCTTTCTTACGTACCTTCCTCCTTCCCCGTCCCTCATCCTTTCTCGCGCACGTTGCTCAATATCCTTGTCCGTTCTTATCCGATACGATGGCCTCCGCCGCTTCGTATGTCTGCCACAGTTCCGCCACCCCTGGACAATGTCCGTCGTTCAGATATCTTCCGTCTAATTGCTCTTCCTCCCGCCGTTTCTCTCGTACGCCGTGGAACCCCGGAAACGAATATCTTGGGATGACGTATGGACTTACTGCAAGGTACAGCGAGGAAGCAAGACGGAAGGGTGGATGAGGGGAGGGGGGTCTTTTCTTCTCGGGTGAAAGAAAGAATCTTATCTGCCGCTGGTTATCGCTCGGGGTGAGGTCTTAGAGAGATCGGGGGGAGGGGGGAGGGGGGGTTGCTGACGATGACCATCGTTCGTCCTACTCAACGATCGTGGATGGGAGCTCGATGGATAGGAAGGGGCGAACTCCCAGACGGAATCGCCATTGTGCAATCTTGAACGCGAACGTTAAAAGTGACCTAATCCTCGATAAATTCAATAATTCCCCGCCACTCTCGCAGCCGGATTCAACGTGCTCTAATCAGATTTTCGAAAACTTTCTCCCTCTCCTGTCCTGCAGGACAAAATTGATCAGATTTGCCGCGAGAGGTGACGGATTTGATATATTTGAATAATTAAAGAGCGCTGTATATAGAGCCATTCTCGTGCTTAAATATTTGAGTAATGGAAACCGCAGATATCTGTCGCAAAGTAACAAAAAAATGTAATGCACAAATAGTGTCGGACAAATTCGAGATACTTGAAACGTTTCTCTTTTCACGATTTCTCTCTGTTATTTTTCAAAAAATTTCCTTCTCCTTAATTTCTTGAATGTTAGAAAGAAAACGTAACATAATGTATTTATATCGTTCGCCTATGATCCAGCAGCCTGTGTACAAAACCTAATGGCACATGTATTTGTTCATCCAAAAAAATAATACTCCTGACAAGCTAGAGACTAAATCCGCGTAACTGATGTGTGGAATTCAACATTGAATGCCTACATCTACAGTAATCTAGATTCGTCGAGATTCACAATTACCGTGCTCATTCGTGCGCGCGGTAAACTCGCATAAATTAAACTGCACCAGTCGCAGAGACCATTTCGTTAAGCTACCATAATAAGGTCCGGTTTAACTGGTGGAAGGAGCACCGCATTGTTCCGGACATTTTTCTTTTTGTATACACCCTCGCGCCGTACCAACACCACCGACATCGGAGGACACGTCCTGGGAAAAAGACTTAAATCCCCTTCTCCTACAATTTCAGGTTTTCCACCAAGGAGTCGGCCACGCACGCCATCGTAGCGGTACACAACACAGACATCAATGGCCAAACGGTGAAGTGCAGTTGGGGCAAAGAGAGTGGAGATCCTAATAATGCTCAACAAACTGGACAGGTAAACGCTCTCTATCTTTTCCTTTTATCCGCTCTACCGGGAGGACAGTTTCGACGTGAAATTCCGTCCTCTGTGTTTTCTAACATTTACATCGCTGCTTGCGCGTATCAAACCAGAAAGCTTTTCTACCTTATTTCATGAATAAACATTTTCGCCGATTCTTCTCAAGAAATAATGCATGAAAGACAAAAATGCTGACCTCGCATCGATGAATATAAAGCACAAACATCTCTAGAGAATTTTAATCATTTAAAGAAAAGTACTACGCCGGCATTAATATAAAATGTAATCTCTGATATCTACATATCAATCCCGTAAATGTAAAACGCTGAGTTTTTCGATATACGTATAAAATTCAAACTCGCCGTTGTACGTGTCACGTGAAATTGAATAGCGAACGTTCACGTCTCAAAGAAGCGCCGGGGCGTTCGAAAAAGAAAGTAGTTACCAGATTCTATCACGGCCGATTCCTTCCGGTTTCGCGCGGCTAACGCGTCTCTGCCGATATATCGGTATATCGCTCGAGAGTCCGGCGAAAAGAGTCAAGGCGGAAACAGAGAGAGAACCGGAAATCAGGCAAGATTCCGGTCTATTCAGACGCCACTCTTCGGAGTGTGTCGGGTCGGGTCTCTTAGCAATTAGCTCCGTTAGGACGGATAGATACGCCCGATCTGGGAATGGTACCCGAAGTACTTCCCAAACGCGCTCGCACTCCCCGGTAGTACTTCCGTGCATCCATCCACTGCTACTCGGCCCGTGACATCGCTCTAATTGATCTCTATTCCCATAACGCGCTTCTCCCAGAAGAGCCGAGATATCACGTTAGTACGTATCCTGCCATACCCTGTTCTCGTATTCAACGGGATCGAACTGGTTTGCGTGATATCCCAGTTCATCGTTAACTGGGATATTTTAACGAACAACGTAATGGCTACGCGTTATTTCGTAAACTTTATAGAAGCGTAACTCTTGAAAAATTAAAGACTGACATTTTAAAAGTTTCTCGCTCGGAACAATGTCATTCTCTATTTATATTATTTTCCAATTTCACAACCGACGCTTTTTTCGAAAAGAAGAAACATATTTAAGAGAGCTATTCAAATACAGAAATATACAACAAATTATTGTAAAGAGAAAAAACATTTTTTCTTCTCTAGGAGACAATTTTATGAATCAATTTATATATTTTATAAATTGATATATTCAATTTATATATCAATTTATATATTTTATAAAAATATATAATCTTACGATAATTCGACAGAGCAATTTCCTTTGATTTTGTACCACGAGAAAAGAAATGAGTTCGGACGAGTAATAGCGAAATAATTTACGACAATGAAATAATTGTCGTGAAATTCACGCGTCACGCAGTTTTAAGCACGCACGTAAACGACCACACAAATCTTCGGCGAAACGAAATTACCATTCCTAATCCTATCGCCATCGTTAAGTATAAAATCCAGACAATGTTCTTGCTCTTTTCTATTTCATTGATCCTTGTGCTCTTTCAGGCGTTATCGTCGGCGACGTACCCATACTACGCGGCGGCGGCAGCTGCCGCCGCGGCGGCGGCGGGCGTCGCGGGTGTCGGAGGCGTCGGTGGCGTCGGCGGTGCCGGACAACTGGGATACTGGTATCCGCCCCAATCTTATCCTACGACAGCGACACAAATGCAAGCTGGTGGCTTTCTTCAGGGCATGCAAGGATACACCTATGGACAGTTCGCCGGATATCAACAGGCGCAATATATGGGGTAAGCTTTTCACGCGAGATAAGTTCTTCTTCCTCGAGAACGAAGTTTTATACGACCAAGTTTTGAATAATCGAAGATTCAAGTCTAATATGAATATATCATCTTCCCATCTTTTATGAAGCGAGTTCTATGCTATGAATTATAAAACAATTCGGAAATTTTAAATCAAATTAATTTTCGAAATTTATTCCAAGAACTTATATATATTATATATATATATATATATACTTTGTCTAAAATTATTCATCTTTATTAGTACAGAATAAATATTTGTATTGAATCTAGATATTCCATTAAAATACATTTCAATATATTATTATTAGTAAAGAATAAAAATAATGCGAAACTCGGACAATTTTGATCAAAAATTTCTCGCTTATTTTGCAATAAGAATATTAATATAACATCATAGAATACACTCGCGATGCAGACACACGATAGATATCAAAATACGAATTGTAGCTTTCATTTGCGTCTCTGTAAAAACTGTACGATTTCGTAATCATTGTATTTCTTGCAAACGTAGAATGGGCATGGGTGCTGTCCACGCCGCTGGCACAGCGGCAGGATGGGGTCAGGGATTACCTGGGGGACCACAGTTACCACCACACCACGCCACGACGGTCACGGCACCCCCAGGGGTGCAAGCCGCACCCCCGCCACCACCGCCACCGGCACAAATGATGGCCTACCCGATGCAACAGTTCCAGGTAACCATTACTTTATCTATCCCACCAGTATACGCGTGCAAGTTGTACGCCGTACTTGTTTGTGTGATGTTTGTTGGCTCTAACGTAGGAGTGTTTCGCTTTTTACATATCTTTGCATCTTGCCCCTGTTACGTCCAAAAGCAATTTCGTCGGTGCCGGTATTGGCTTGTAAATGTTGCACGTGGAAACTCGATTCGATATCAAAAGGATATCGAAGGCATGTGTCGGCAGAAGAGTGCGAGTGGTATATACGTATATATATTGTCGGTGATCTTAGGAAACCTCGTAAACTTGATAGTATATATCATTCGAGAGCTCGAGCGATAGAACACGGTACGCTTCACGTGGAACAATTTTGCACTGGTAAACATGGCTACGATAACGCGTATGATATAATTAGCTACAAGCGTATATATTCGGTGTAATGTTCTGGCTTCAGTTAACAATCATTGCGAGGTTACAGGAACAGCGGCGATATGTTAACTTCAATAATTTATACCAGCATTATGTACGATGCCAGTGATATAGTATATGCAGATGAAAACTTGCATTTTTTTTTTAATAAATAAACAAAAATGTTTTTTACCGTAATTATAGTGACTGTTTTCGATTTCATAACTAAGTATTATTGATCTTCAATTTCTCTGTCAAATTAATTTCGTCAAAATTATTTGTTTATTGTAAATTTAAATATATCATAAATTTGTTATAAATAAGACAAGAACCAATATAATTATTCACGAGAGAATAAAATGCTGTGTATAAATAAAATACAAATTACGAACTAAAGGGGCATTTATGTGCTTATGCATTGACAACTGCAATATTACATATTAACAGAGCTGGGTAAAAGATGGGATGAAACATTTATCATTGTATTATTTGTGTACATATAATTTCACTTAAGACGTCAAAAAAAAATATAAAACATCAATAAAATGGTAAGTATCTTTTTTACGTTTGAATAGCGATATAATATGTTACCCATCTCTGCTACGTGAATAGATACACTTGATGGCTCGTTATGAAGGCATTTATTTTGCCATAGAGAAAGCCCCGTGACAGCCGTAATTGTATTATGGCAATTGTGTGGAGGATGTTTGTAGTAAGCATGTCTTATAAGATATCACATAAGTGACGAAAAATAAGTAACATTCTTATTATCTTGTACCGAATTTCGAGAGATATTAATAGAAACTGAAAATAATCTTTACTTTGAATTCTTGTCAAAACACTTGCGACGATGTTTGGTGTCAATGAGATTAAATGAAATATCACGTAATACTAAATCATCAACTGTATGATTTCCAAATATAATTATCTTCCTGGTATAATCTTTAAGTCTTTTTCATTGGTGAAAAAGATTGCACTCTTAGTAGCTGAGCATTTTTTATTTTTCTTACACCAGACATTGATGGAACAAGACAAACTCGCTTTCCCGTTCGACGAGAGATTATAGAAGTTTGTCGAGATTTAGATATGACGCAAAAAAATTGTGGTTCATGGCAGTGAGGTGAAATATAATACTTATCGTAGTTGTCCAGAGAAAAGTCTAGCTCAACCATTTTGCTTTCCGCACAAGCTGCACACGTAAGAAAGTGCGCACTGCATACAAGCACACACGCCATCGCTAAAAACGACATAGCCACAAAAAAATCTAGAATATTTGAAAAGAGATCAGGGATGGCTTCGGGCAAGCGCAGCGAATGCATTTCAACTCAGCACCGCTTTTAATGCCCCACGTTTTCCTTTTGCTTCGAGAACAATTTCTGAACTTGACAACTTGAGATTTCAGAATTGAAAATGACTATCTTAATTTAAAAGCTCGCTAAAAACTTTAGTCTGAAATTTTCAAAGTGACTCTACTGTTTCTATATGTTTCCCTTTTTATTGCTTATTTTCTGCAAAGTAAAAAATTTGCAAGAAATATTGTACAATTTTAAGAAATATTAATATTCTTTTAACAGATTAATAGCTTTTCTTAATAGCTTTTGTTAATGACAGCGTTATATCACACGAAATTACATACTCTTTTAATTAAATCAAATAATAAAAGCTTATATTCTGATACAATGATATTGGCTTATTGTTATATAACTGTACGAACAACGAATTCATTAATTTATAGGATTGAAGAATAAGTCGGATCAAGGTTAAAAGATTCTGCTTCAGAGGAAATACAGTTATTGGAAATAAGAGAACAAGTTTTCTGATCAAGGGGACTAGTAGACCAAGTTGAAGTACACGAAACTGAATTAGTAAGAGAGTGTCTGATTTAAAATCCGATTTACTCGACAATTCTATTCATCTACCGTTGCTTTAATTTAACGATCCACAAAAATCTCTCTTTAAACTGACAAAGAAATAAACAAATTAAAGCAAACCAGAATAAAAATATTTCCAATTTCTAACTTAACAATATAATCAATGTGTTGTTTATTTTTTATACTTTCGACGATCAATTATGCCAAAAGAGTACTGTAAACATTTTTCCACACACAAATAGCACTTTTAAGTAGCGTTGAAGCAAGTAACATATTTATTAATAGCGTAAGAAACCCTTAGATGACTATTATCAGGAGCGTGACTGCGAATAATTCGAGATAGCGTAGCATATTGCGAACGTTGTATCGATTTTGGCTTTCAGTCATTAATCTGCAGCTGTTTGCAGTGCGTAAAACGGCCTGTCGACCATATGTGCTTAAGGAGATATATACATTTCACGTAGCTGTAGTTGCTTTAGTGAGTCTTTTGTACATATCGCACATAAAACGGAGTAAAAGTCACGTACGATTGCTTGTCTATCGCGTCGAAGGAGATATTCCGGTGAGAAAAGTTAGCTCGCTTTCGCACAAATATCTCTTTTCGAAAAACCAAGTTCGCATTATATCACTGCATGTCAAGTGAAATACCACTTTGAAACTTGCTTGAAAACTAGCCATAGCAACCATCCTCAATTGAACACGAATTCTTGGTAATAGTAGCGATAAAACAACGAACGAGAGACGGAACGCCCGAAAATATATTGCCAATGAGATAAATTGCAGTTGGCTTCTCGTTTATTTTGCTGATATCTTTTTTTTTGCCGCAAGAAAATTGCAAAGTTTTACGTTTGATCATAATAGGATTTAAGAGAACAATTTTACATAAATGTTCACACTTTTGCAATTAGAAGCCGAAAGCTCGAAAGTTACGAACGTAAAAGTTTCCCATGTAAATTTGTTCATCGCGTATTAGAGATGATACTTGAATGTGATCACACTAAACTTATAGCAACAAATAGAAAATAAACAAAGAGATATAAAATGGAATTAAAAAAATTAAGATTAACGTCATAAATATAATTTGGATGGAAAGATAAGATCGCTCACTTACTCTACGTGGATTTTGACTTGTATGAATATGGAATGCGAAATGTAGATACTGCATGTATTATGCTTCTTGCACTTTATCTAATCCAATTCGAGTATCCCTTTGAAAAGTCTATATTTTCTCTTTACATATCTACAAAATAGATATTTTTCGTGTATTGTTAGCGATTCCAATAAATTCAATAATTACTTCGGAATAACGCATTCAGCAATTTCAGTAAATAATCGTTGGATTATTAATTGGAATCAACTTAATTATTGTCTAAATTTACTTTCTAATTAATATAATGTTACAAATATTAAATCGAAATCTCGAATATAATAGTATTAATAAGATCGATACTTTCGTTGTTCAATATCCAGGAAGGGATACTCGAAATTTTCAAAAAGACTATCTTTATTTACATATTTCGGTTCGCAGGCACAGTGATCGCTACCACTATCATCGCACGGCCTGGCTTATCCTTTCTTTCGAATATCAATTAGCGTCAAGATAACTGCATCTACAACCTGGCTCAACCTCGCATTCAAGCTGAAAATACTCGCTGCAACGTGTTTTTATGCAAAAGGATAATATTTTCTACAGAACGAAAAGGAATGGAAGAAACCAGAGATGAAAGCGAAAGAAGCGATGTTCGCATATCTATTTTATCGGTGTAGTAATTCATATTCGATCGTAATAACATAAACTTAATTTTTTTTCTACGTAATGACGACAGAGGAAATTACAGTGATTAAGTCAGGAAAACTCGTTAACCTAATCTTGCGTTTATCTCGTCGTCGTTAATGCGCTCTGAATTATAATGCAAGCAGTTCACTATTACACACTGTGCTTACATGATTACATGCAGTTTTTACGTCTTTACTACTGCACCACGTAGTGGAGGTTGAGTCATGGTGAAGGTAGATTCAGATCGATTAGAATTCATGTAGTAGGGAAGTGTGAGAAAGTGTAACGGGAAAGCAAGAGTGAAGAATGATGCGCAAGCGAGAGGCAGAATGAATGGAAGAGAGAAAGAAAGCAAGAGAGTTAGAGAGCACACAGAGACGAGCGCAAAGACGAATGAAAGAAAGAGAGAGAGAGAGAGAGAGAGAGAGAGAGAGAGAAAGAGAGAGAGAGGATTATTGTCGAGCATATTTCTATTACTTTCTTGAAATTCGGACCAAGACTTAACCTGCGTTTGTGTGTTCAAATGGTAAAGTGTGTTCTTGGTTGCGGTCCAGCTAGCGGATGAGGACTGGCTGACGCCTAGCCTTCTAGTGTGATGGTAAGCAAGTACACCCAACCAACAGGAACAACTTCTACAGCAACAATAGTTACCACCACCATCACCACCATCACTTCCTCCTCCACTACTACTACCACCACCACTACCACCACCAACAACAACATTTCCGTCATCATCGACGCCACCGCGGCAACAAAAGCAGTAAAACTCATGCCACTTCCGGCTTGACGACGCGCGAGCCGAAAGGTGGCGATCACGAAAACCAGATAACACTCGCTTAGTCAAAAACGAAGAAGCAAAGTGAGAGAAAAAAAAAAAAGAATAGCGATTAAGAATCATAATCCTTAGGTAACCTTGCGCAAGATGCATCCAACATCCCCAATCTCCCCGTAAGTTTTCACGTCCAGTAATAAGAGAAAAGAAACCGCTACCAATTACTAAGCGGAGATACCTCTCGTCCAGTCTGTAGGATAATCTAGCAATCTCGCTCGGCTTGAAGAAATAGATAGCGTTTGCCGTTAACAGTAGTGTCCGAAGCTTCAATACAAAACACGAGAAATCCGGCATACACGCGAATACGTCATTCGTGATGGTCCGACAGTGTTTTTTTTTTTTCTTAGCGAAACTGGCCAATTACGCGTACTATGTATCGTCCAGCGGTACCGAGTACATGAGGAACACGAGTCCGCACACGTTCAATGGGGGTCGCGACACCCTTTATCACCGTTTTAACAATGCGCATACAAATTTCTTGATTCTACGAAGAAAAAGAAGAGCGTCGACAGACCGCCGGATACTGACTCGTTACCCGGATTCATTATTTTTGTAGTTTTGGGCTTAACAGCGAAAATAATAACTCAAAGACGTAATGTCGAAACGGGACGCTCGCGGCCGAATGTGGGCGGCCGGCGAGCGGCCGCGGTGTATAAATGATAAATACAAAGATCGATTAATCGAAGCACACACTCGTGAAGATATATAAATATATAAATATATATATATATATATAAATATAAATGAAAAATATATATATACATAAAAGAATAAAGGTTATTATAAACAAAATTCAACAATTAGCTAGTTAGATAGGCATATTATATTAAAAGTTGCTCGAGGTCGATTCGAAATTCGGCGGCAAGGTGGAGATGGATCTTGTGTATAGCGCGGCGTTTTTACGGGGGCGCGAGTAATCGGCCCCTTCGTACAATTCGCCCTGTCTACTGGCTTTACGTGTCTTATCCCATTTGCCAATGCGAAGACTTCGTACCTCGGTTATAATACTTAATTATTGGATTCGTGGCCAAACGATTATTCACGCGTGAAATCTTCGCAGGTGCGCGGTTCAGCATCCGTTTTTATCAATCGAGTCTGTTTTTCAGACACGACTTAGGCCAGTTGGATACTTTTATAAAACGATCAGACACGTTTGTCGTGGAAGGCACCGACGATTTAGCACATTTCTGAGAAAAAAATGTCGGAACACGCGAAACACCGATTGCGTCGGATCGCCGCGGTTTTTAAGTAAACGTTAGATTTTTATATGACTACGTAGAACCAAAGGGAGTCGAGATTTTATGACGTTTAAGCAATAAAACGTTAAGCTTAGGAAGCAAGAAGGCAACCATCGATTCCTCCGTCTCTTTGTAAATTAATCTCTCGATTGCGTAAACGAGAAATACACGAATTCTCAACAACGAAAAAAAAAAAGAAATAACAAAACGAGCAACATAGCTAGAGGAGACGGTGCGTGCACGCGTGTATTTTAATTGTCCGAGGAGCAACCAAAACGATCGCAATCCCGCCGATGTCCCGAATTTCAACTTGGCCAAATCGATACAAAAAGAAACGAGATCGAGACTCGTATAAGCCGTGAACATGTAAGCAATTGCATGAGTGCAATCGTACATATGAGAGTGCGCTAGAGGGGGAGGGAAAGAGAGTGTGAAAGCGAAAAGAAGTAAGAATGGGCAAGGAGAGAAAGAGAGCGTGAGAAAATGAACGAGCGACGAAATAAACCGCACAGCACAAGTAAGGGACGAGAAGAAGAAGAAAAAAAAAGGGAGTTAAATAATTCGTAGATAGACACATTGCACAAACAGCACGAAAGTTAGATTAGATGAATTAAGTTTTTTGTCTACGCGTGCCCTGTCCGCGCGGCTGCCGTTTTAGGAGGCTGCGATCGTACACGATCTCATCATCGACGTGCTCCTCCGCTATTAAAACTGTCCGCTTGCTGTAGGAGGATCGGCCAAAAGAGGCGGGACGAGTCGCGAACCGACGAGGTGATAGAACGAGCAGTTTCAATACTTGAAAAGATGGGAAGTGAAACTTATTGCAGCCCGTCCCCGTTATCTCCGTGCTCGATCTTCTGTATCTCCATCGTCCTGTTTCCAGCTCGTCCTATCTACCGCTCCTTCTCACCCCTTCGGTTTTAAGTACCGCAACTCATGCTCGTCGTACCGATAATATCTTGTACTCGCTTTCTCTTAGACCGCGTTCATGTCGGAGCGACGGAGCAACCAGACGCGAATTCACACGAGAACTAAAGCTTCAAGGAACTCGAAGAATAATTTTGAAAAATTGGAAACGTTTGCTCTTTATATGAAATATATATATTTTTTTTTAAATAACACATTACACAAAATTCTTAAAGTTGCCTCTTTGACTGTGGATTCCAAAAAATTTCAACTTGAAAAAAACATCACCTGCCTTGTACAGAATTTCGGCAATTCACACGAGTTTTCAATATTGTTTTCCTTTGTGTCGGGTGGGAGTGTCACCGTGCGAAAGCGCTTTGAATGGCGCGATGACTCGTCTGATGTCTCTTTCGAGTGAAACTCTCCCGTGATACTATATTCCGTGGTACTATATTACGATGCGTAATCCATAATTTTACCCGCGCAAACGAATAGAGAAGAGACAAAAGGCAAAAAAAAAGGGGATAGACACACGAGAAGCGCGGTCAGATTAGGGGGCGTGAAGAGTACGTCGATGATGGCTGAAACAAAAACGAGATAGGACGAGCGATAAACGACTATGTTATTAATCAAAAGATGGATCGTGCTTTAAGCGAATCAAAAGCGTGTTCGATGTTTCTCAATCAAAAAGACCGATGATCAAAGTACGGCACACGAATGCTCGAAACGCAGCGAAAGAAGTGGAAAAACGGCACAATCAAATCTGCCCAGCATGGCGTAGAGTTTAAATGTTTCGTGATGAAAGTAGTGTCTGCCAACGATTGTGTGTCGCGATTGTGTCAGCCGGTTAAAAGAGTGACTCTTTCGTGAAAAGAAAGCTCGACAATAAAAATCGTCATTTTTTTTCAATCACAACGAGTGACTCTGATGGAGTAATTCACACACGTGAACAAAATTAAAAATAATAATCGTGTTGCCGTTACGTACACTTTATTGGTTGCGTTCTCGTTGCGTTTGCTTTCATTTGATTTGCAATTTTAAGAAAAAAGAGCATTTAGGAAGGAATCTTTCTATACAGACTACACTGTTCCGAATTCATCCATTTCATACATTTGGATGAGAGATATTGAAAGATATTTCGTCAACTTTATTTCTAATTTGTGTTGTTGTTTCGCGCGGTATGTTATTAGAGATATATATTCATTCGTACATATATGTTTGATTATATGCACATGATTTTCTTACTGAATGCATTTAGCTTATCCTAAATTTTTTTATGTCTTTAATTTAGTGCAACATATGAATTATCATGCACGATCGCACGTAATGTAAGCGCGACCGTGAGTATTTTCTGCAGTTTTCTTGCATGTTGATCCAAGATTTCTTTAATCATCTTTCGATTCAAGTCTTCTCGTAACCTGCACATTGAGAACGATTGTGTCTATCGTTATAATTGAATATTATTCTCTTTCGATGCCCGTCAATTATAGCGTAACATTTGACAAACCTTTAAGAAAATTAAAAATATCAGAGTGTAAATACGTAATATCACAGTAAAAATGCAGATTATACTCGCGATTTGCGAAACTTTTACATTATTTAAATTTCTAGCTTAAAAGGGAATCGTCATGCTAACCGAATCTCGTTTTTTAATAGAAATTGGGCGACTAGCCTCGAGGACACGGCACGAGTATGCAAAGAGAAAGCAACAAAATTATAAATAAATATATATACATACATATAAATACAAAAATGCATATATATATTATATATATATAAATATATATATACTTGCGCGCAGCGGCGGCGAGGGCTGTTATTTTCAATCGTCGTGCGTAAAACAAAGCGCTGTGCGTGAGAAAATTAGCTTTTAAGAAGCGACATGAGAACCTATATAAGTAAAAAGAAAATATCGTGTACATTATTAGTTAGGCGAAAGAAATAAAAATATAGGTTATTTTTGTGAAAGGTGGAACGAGCGAGGGGAGAGAGGGGGAACGGAGACCGAGTGGCAAGAGGGACCCAAATGGCAGACTGTAATACGAATTATGCAATAAGAACCTGTTACCGCGTGCGTTTGCATCTGTCAATCAAATCTTGTACAGTAACGTATACCGCGAAAACGTTTCACCAACACAAAAAGGATATTAATTGGATCTGACACACGCTCTACTTTTACGTTCCTTTTACGTTCCGCCCAATCGCTCCCCTTATCGAATTGCTCGCTATGCACTCCGACTCGATTCCACCTTCGACAGAGAGAAAAAAAAAGTGAGGGATCCTGCACTCTTTTAAAGAATCAGCGTGGACGCCCGATCCTGTAAAAAGTATTTGAAGAAAGGCGCCTTACACATTGAGGCGTGTATATGAGTTAATGTAGTCCTGTACGTTGTCTAGGACATATACCGAGTGGAGTTAGCCGATTGAGCGAGACGTCGCGTTAAACGGGAAACCAAAATGTAGTATAAAGTGATAGATAGATAATTATTAATGTAATCTGACTTAGTAGGCAAACAAAAGGGGCAGTGGAATCGCGGATGGAAACGACGCGGATGGCGGGGAAGTGTCAACCCGGGCGAAGCAAATTGTAGAAATAAAAGGGGGGTAGGCGGGGGGAGGGGGGGGGGCACACTCGACGAAAGTCGTGGGGCAAAACTGGCAAGAGATCCACTTTATACCTAAATCACGGTACCTAAGTCACGGACCCAACCGGAGAAAAGGGACACACGCGCGCGCGTACACGAGGTAGTAAAAAAAAAAAAAAAAAAAACACACATATACGCGTATGTAAATACACACAACACCAAAATACACAGGATGCACACAGCATACGTGTAGAAACGTAGCGGCGAGAAACTTAACAAAAAGCTCTAGACCGTAGTCTAGTCTAGTCTAGCTTGTCGATCAATAGGTTAACGAAAAAAAAGCGTTCATGAGAAATAGTGCAATAACTAAATATCCGCAAGTTATACTCAGCACCCTTATACGGCACAAACGGCAGGACACATGTATATGCATACACCTATCGAGAACACGTATATACAGACACCATACACATACATACAGAGACACGGATACATACAGACACGCGTGCTGCGGCTGCTGCCTCCATCCTTTGCCCGCGTCCTCAAGTCGCAGTTCTCAGATTTTACAACCCGACAACATACCGCGATAACGCGATTCATGCCATTTCGTGATTTTTTTCACCGTCGCATCGTTTGAGCTTTAGCAAGCGCCGACCGCCTTCCTGACTAATCTAACCCCCCTGGTCGAAAAACGCTACATTCTCGAGTTACAACAAAATTCAATGTGTGCCTTTTTTTTCCTCCCTCGCTCGTCCGATTCCCGTCACGTAGCGTGTTTTCCTGCCTCCTCTTAGTATCCCGTAACGGGCACTATGTCATTTCGACTCTTCTTCATCCGTGCGTCTCTTCCCTTGATGCTCTCTTATTTGTTTCCACGATTGATGTCCTGATGCCACTGCACCGACGGATCCTCCGCCCGGACAGACTTATCTCTCGCGGAGACTTACCAAACGATAGTCGACAATCATTGAAGAAACATACATTTAGAAACTTGTACGTGTTCTTTTCACCGAGGACTAGATATTAATTATCGTTACCGGCGTGTTTGCACAAGTCCCGTGCGGGCAATGGACAGAGGAGGTGGCGTCGGTCCTGGGGGAAAGTAAGAGAGCAAGGCGTATTGATTGCTTGCGATGCTATCCTATCGTGTTCGCAATACTTTTGCCTCTCGCAAGTGTACCACAAAACGCGATTTTGATATCGATCGACACGTAGGCACCACGAATGCACACACGGAACATATCATCGAGCCAATCAGCCGATCCTACTCCCAATCAGGAACTGCAATGAGGGACGTGAAATGCAATTAAGCAATTCGGTGCTTCAAGTTACTCAAACTGTGCTCGCGGAAAAAAAAAAAACGGTTTTCCTCTTTTCGCGACAATAAAGCCGTGACGCTTAGAAACCAAACTCAGCCGACCAATCAATCTGACAAAATTTATCGCACACTGCACTTGTTTCGATCACTACGAATCGCGCGAGTAGCAATGACAATCGCCTAAATAATTTACTTCGATGTAATCTGAACGTGATATCAAGAATAGTATTTATGGGCTGTGTACTTAAATTAAGACGTCGCTTTAGTTTTCATTCACGATTACCGACTTTCGCACTTACGAATATGTATGAATGACAAATTATAAGAAACGAGGCAGCAAGTTATTAAGAATTCTTTGCGCGTGACTATCGAGATATGGGCATATCACACA